AATGCGACAAATCATGCCAACTGAGAGTAAATTTTATTGGCTATACATGATACTTTATTGTCTTTATTCTTTAATATATTTGTGTTTTTCATCTATTTATATTTTATATTAAAATGTATCATTGATTTATTTTTATCTCTAATGTGTTTTTTGTCATTCTTCTATCTCATTACATGTATACATGCAACGCACGTTAATGTACTAGTATTAGTATTAGTATTTTATGTGACCCGCATGTGGTCTATAATTTGCAAGACTGCTTGGCTCACTTTTTATTTTTATTTATTTTTTTATTTTTTTATTTTTATTTTCTGAACAAGAGACTGCTCTGTCCACTTGTAGATCTAAAAAGCAGCATTTTAATATTGCTAACCTAAAGGGCAAGGTATCCTTCAATGGCATTGCCATCTTCGTGACAGTAGATCTACTTATGGAGAGTAGCTTAACTGCCAAAATTTGAGGCCCCTGAAAGTCAACTTCTGCTAAGCTCATAGTAAAAAATGAACCTTGAAAGAATGAGCTACCAACCTGTGTATAGAAGGAGGTGGGAGAAGTGTGAGCCTTTAGTAAGAAATCAGCTCCCCAACTTATTGCAGCTTGCAGGTAACCCAGCTGCTTTGCAGTTGATATTTGTGATTTGTAATCCACAGCAGCCCATGACAATAAGCTCACTGTAAATGACATTGGCCATCCAAATTTCACATTGTCCCCGGCATCATAATAACCTCCAACCAAGTTCACCTGCGGAGCCGTCTATGAGTTCTAATACACACAGATACATACATACATACACACATACGGATATGCATTCACACTTATACCTAGTGTGCTGAATTTTAGTGTTACCATCTAAGAGAGCAAAGGTTCTTGTGGCCACTCCTGTTGTTACCCTCCGAAGTACAAAAGAACTTATATTTGAATGTTAGAAAATTTTCTTTTTTGGGTAATTCGGTGGGGGATGACTAGCCCCTACCTGTTTTTTCAAATAATTAATGGCTTTTTAAGCTGTAAGCGGAATTGAAAGGCACGACATTTGAGGTATGGGTGTGCTACTACCATGACCTTAGCCCAAAATGTCACAATTTTATCCTTGGGATTTTCCTAGGTAGAATAATGGAAATAGATAGAAATTTGTTAACTCTTAGGCTTTAAATAATCATAGGACAACTTAAGGATACCTTGTAAAATTCTCACAAAAGAATAGAAAACATACATAACTCGTGTGATTTTAGAACATTGTAAAGTTTCTACTGTAATCATTTTACCTTTGTATTATCATTCTTTTGAACTTTCAAAGAAAGAAAACATTATTCCTAATAAGAATGGAGTGCGTATAATGTGCTCCTGCAGGAGCGAATTGTTCATTTGGTCCCTCGGGTAAATAAATGTAATCAGAGATTTGGGATCCATTTAAATATCAATAGATGATTTTTTTAAAAAAAAGTAATTGAATTTTGAACCCTTTAACAGTCAGATATTGCTTTCAAAAAAAATTGGATAGTGTTAGTTCAGTTTTGGGACATTATTTTTTTTTCTAGAGTGTGTATTTGAATTTTTTTCCTTTTTTTTCTTTTGGAGTTAGTCTGTAGCTAGTAGAGGACAGTTCCCCAAATTTGGGGTCCTATAAAACCGAGCTTGGTCATTCACCCGTAGGAGTAAATGGACAGTTTACTCCCTTGGCAGCATAAAATCAAATTGCAAAAGAATGATGCATGCGTATTTGTATACATACATTGTTAAGCTTGCCATCAGAGAGCGCAGAATCTCCTCTCCAATTGACTCTTTGGTTGGGAGGGAGTTTCCCTGATCTCTGTCCTTCAAAGAAGAGAATTGTTTTGCTCAGAGCGTTTGCATAATCGAAAGCACCAACTTGGGTTTCCTCCCCACTAACCCTGACGCTCAGGCTCAGCAGCCACCACAACGCCACTACTGAAACCACCTCACATATAATCCGCCTTCCCATTATCACTCGAAAGCAAGAAGCAACGAGCAAAAGTACTTAACTACTTATTATATCACCCTATCTTCCAACTCCCAGATGTGATTTCTATATCAGTCGTGGAGGCAAGGCACACAGGGGATAGG